TAAAACACAGCCTAATTTTCATTTTTGGGTGAACTAACCCTTTAAATATCAGGAAAAGTATCGGTAAAACGATTATCGGTCGATCTCGAGTTATACTCACTGACAGACCACAGCTGCGCTTCAGCTGAGAGTGGATACCATGCTAGCCATGCTGCACCTTGTTCCTTGTCTTCAGAGAACAGTGTTGCATATATAGCGTCACATTTTCCAAACATGCACATTAGGGGAGAGACAAAGTCATTAAGGTCCTACCATTAAGACGCCGAGGGACCACCAGTCAGCGCTCTGCGTGTGACCTCTTCTGTTGACCACCTCAGGGGACATATACTCCACAGTGCCACAGAACGAGTACGCTTTTTTGTCCTGATCTACCGATTCTTTACTGAGCCCAAAGTCTGGAAAAGGCACAGCAGCACATCTGTCACATCTGCATCACCAAGCTAAACCAGGGGTGTCCAACTCTGCTCCCGGAGTCACTGTCCTGCAGAGTTCATCGAGGATTACGTGAAAACTACAGGCAGGAGCTGACAGCCCTCCAGCAGCAGAGCTTCCAACTCTGCTCCCGGAGTCACTGTCCTGCAGAGTTTATCGAGGATTACGTGAAAACTACAGGCAGGAGCTGACAGCCCTCCAGCAGCAGAGCTTGACAAACAACCCCATCATGACACAAACACACCACACATGACTCAATCATTTTAGAGAATTCAGGGTGAAACGCTAACAGTAGATGTCAAACATTACAGAACTGCCTGGTATCTACATGCACTAGTTCAACAGGCAGGAAAGTGATGTGTAATAAGGGTACGTACCTGTTAACTTGATATGTCCAGCTTCATCAAGCAAAATGCTGAAAATTAAGACCACATTTCTCCAATACAGATACAAAAATACATGAACTAAACAAGTCAACAAACAACATCCAAAACCTCTCGATTACAATCTTGAACATTGGTTCTGTCAGATATATCCATCCTTATTTAATAAAATATCAAAAAAAGAGGGCAGGTGAAAGCCAGAGACGGAGACAGAGAGAGAGTGGTTTCTACTCTACACACAGAGAGAGAAGCGGAGAGGTGAAGGGGGATACTTTACTTTTCAGGCTTCAGGTCTCTGTAAACAATGCCTAGGTTGTGTAGATGATCCAATGCAAGGGCCAGCTCTGCAAGGTAGAATTTCACATCCTCCTCTGTAAACATAACCTAGTAAGAACTGGACAGATTTACTCTCGCATCAAAGATCACACACAACAACATAATGCACAGCATCATCATGACAAAGATGGAAAGGTTCTGAATGTCGTGTTTATATGAAGCCTAAACGATTCACATGTACATTCGTTTACATGTAAATTGCATGTATTCTGAACAAAACTTCAGCTCATGCACAGTGCCCAGTTGCCACGTTCAGAAATTGTGGTTCTGGAGCACAAAACCAGTCTTAAGTCGCTGGGGTATATTTGTAGCAATAGCCAAAAATACATTGTATGAGTCAAAATTATTGATTTTTCTTTTATGCCAATGCCATGAAGATATTTTGTAAATTTCCTACTGTAAATATATCAAAACTTAATTTTTGATTAGTAATATGCATTGCTAAAAACTTCATTTGAACAACTTTAAAGGCAATTTTTTTCAATATTTAGATTTTTTTTGCACCCTCAGATTCCAGATTTTCAAATAGTTGTATCTCGGCCAAATATTGTCCTATCCTAACAAACCATACATCAATGGAAAGATTATTTATTCAGCTTTCAGATGATGCATGAATGTCAATTTTAAAAAAATTGACCCTTATGACTGGTTTTGTGCTCCAGGGTCACATATCTGATTTGTGCCACGTATATCAGAAGAGCTTTGTTTTTTTTAAAGCAAATATTTACAATTTTTTGTAAATATTTAGACTCCTCCACTGACCAGTTCATAAGATGTAAATACATATACACACGCTTGAAAGACATAAACTGTAATTAAATGTGCATGAGGTATTTTTGAATCTGATTTTGAAAACAGTCAGATTCAAGTGGTTACATTCTTAATTTTTCCTGTTGATCTGACTTTTTTTTGCCTTTTCTTTCAATCAGAACAATTTTATTCAGATCGAGCTCAATCAGATCGACTGCAGTGTTTACATGAAGACTTTTCAATCCGATTGAGCCATCAATACAATTATTAACTACAGCCCTATAGGAATGTTTGGCTGCATGTAAACATAGTGATTGTGTGTAAGTTGCTGTATCAAATATGCCTCAATCTCTAATGTAAGAGTTCAATTAAATGCCACATCAGAGCCACAGTAAACTCTGCAGTATGTGGCCTTGTTTGCCTGGTGATTGTGCACATGAATCAACATGGTCAATAAGTACAGTACAAATGTACAAATAAATAAACAGAGAAACAATTATATATATA